TCCAGCACCAGGCAGGTCCAACGCACGTCAGCGGGGGCTGCTCCCACGAGATCTGGGGAGGAGAGCGGCATGTGGCAAAAGGGAAGATGGGAAAAGATGCTACAGACCTCGGACCGTGGACCTTGCAGAACGGGAGACGCAAGATTAACATGGATAAGTAAAAAGTATTTACCAGGCAAGATTCCCACCAGGGTTGGCTTGTCTATGTCAAGATGGGAGATGGGAAAACTCGCTACTGCGGTGCCGGGGTGGGGAAGGACAGACAGGACTCACACCTGACCTCACACTGCACCCCACTGCTCAGGAGAACGGGGATGGGGAACGTCCCTCCCGGGAGCTGCAGCTCTGACCTTCCAGCTGCTGAGGGTCTCCTGCTGAGGACCACCACCCTTCACCCTCCCAGAACGTATCGAGTCAACTTCGGAACTCAATTTATGTTCTAACAATTTATTTCGGTGGGGATGTGCCAGCCCAGTCCCGACTGCGCCGCCGGCAGCAGCAGCACCACACACGCTCCTCACCGCGTCTGGCTGCGCCGTCATGCACAGAGCCTTTGGCTGCTCCGCAGAGGAAGGGGAACTGCAGCCAGGTGGCTGTGGCTTTGAACTCCTTAAAGAGGGTGGAGAAAGAGATGCGAACCACCTGGTTTTCCTGAGAAGAACAAGACACACACACGTGGAGCTTTAGTCACCCTGGTGGCTTCAGCAGGGAAATGCTGCAGAGGAGAAGGCACTTGGCCACATCTCCTATCCCCTGTAGAGATGCCACAAGGATGGAAACCACCTCCAGCCCAGAGTAACCCACCAGCAGCACCAAAGACCACCCGATTTCCGCACCCCCAAGTGCAGAAGACCACTGCTGCCACCCCCTGGTCCTTTGATCAGGCCACGACATTAACAAGGGCAGTTTAACGAAGGCGCCCCGTGTCACATACCTCGGTGGCGACGTCCAGGTGGACGACGAAGTGCTTGCGGGACATGGGCCTGAAGAGCAGGTAGAGGTAGCGCCCCGTCGGCCCCAGCGACTGCGTCCCCGTCCGGGGCAGCTGCAGGTAGTTGCTGGCGGGGACGGAGCCCCGGATCCGGTAGACGGTTCCCTTCAGCCTCGCGTCCTTCCGAAGCCAGGGAAAGGGGTGATGGGGGGGGTGAGCAGTGCCAGCCCGTGGCCTGGGCCCCCCTGCCCCGTGGTGTCGGTGCCCCCGTTACCGTGAGGGCGGCCACGTCCCCCTCCTTGGCTGAGCGCTTCCACTCCTCCACGCAGAAGTGCTTGAAGATGTTCAGGTAGGGGCGCTGCCAGGCTGCCGGTACCGGCACCGCGATCGGTGGGGGGACGGTACCCCCACCTGGACACCCCCCGTTACCCCCTCTACTGGGGACCCCATTGACGCAACCATGTCCCTGCTGGCACCCCCTTATCTTCGTGCCCTGAGGCCCCCCCAGCCCCGGTGACACCCCCGGTATCTCTGTGCTCCAAGTCCCCCAAGCTCTGGTGTCGCCCCCGTTCTCCAAGTCTCTCCAGCCTCAGTGACACCTCCCTCCATACCTCGAGTCCCCCCAAACCCGGTGACGGACCCGGTAACCCCATGCTCCCGGTCCTCCCTCCCTGGTGGTGCCCCCATTATGTTCGCGCTCTGAGCCCCGCCACGGCCCGAGTCCCCCCCAGTTCCGGTGTCACCCCCAGTATCTCCGTCCTCCGAGTCCTCCGTGCCCGGTGATGCCCCCGTTACCCCCGTGCTCCGAACCCCCCAGCGCCAGTGACACCCCCGTTATCTCCGAGCTCCCCCCACCCGGTCTCC